TCGAGTTGCAACCAGAGTCATGGAACGGATTAAGTTCGTAACTAGAGGTACCACTGTAGTTCTAGTATCTTAGTTATTTTAGTTGCTCTTTTCTGCACTTTTCCAGCTGTTTTTTTGAAATACAGTGATTAGAGCTCTACAAGAATTTGATTGTAGTATAGCTTGGTATAAAAATATGGCTACCACAGTTCTTGATTTATTTCCTAATACTGTCCATCATGGAATTTGCTATTTTTACAGAATTTCCCAACTGCACAAATTTCTTGCCTGGTCATCCAACTCAGTTTCCAACATAATGTATACTGTTAAAATTATTGTCCCCTGGTGTCCATAACGTTACTGGGAGTTGTGCTTATTTAAGGAGACTAACCTTTTATTTTTGGCTTTGAGTTGGGGTTGACTCCTGGTGTCTGTCTGGACAAGTCCCTGCAGTTTTCTTGGCAAGGTTTTTTGGAAGTGGTTTGCCATTGCCGGCTTCCTAGGGCTGAGAGGGAGTGACTGGCCCAAGGTCACCCAGCTGGCCTTTGTGTCTAAATCAGCATTAGAACCTATGGTCTCCAGGTTTCTAGCATGATGCCTTATCCACTACACCAAACTGGCTCTTTTTATACATGACACTTTTAGACATTCAGTTGTATATAACCCTCTTCTCAGTTTAGAGGGAGCAGTTTGGGCTTTCCACAGTCTCTTTTTGTTTTTATTCTATCAATCATTTGGCCCCTCACTGCTTCCATCACTAACAGAAGTTTAAAAGCACTCATTTCAGTAGAGAGCCTTAGGGAACATTTTACATTCCTTCACAGCAAGATCCTCCTCTGTGTTGTCCATTAACCAGTTATTAGCATATGCTGATCTATAAGAAAACCTCTCTCCTCTTCCCAATGATTGCTGAACTGGTGCAGTAGCCTTTGGTGGGGAAAGTTTCAAAATTGCCTCTTCAGCCTTCTTCCTTGTTTTTCAAAGGAAGATGCTGTAAAGATCAATTGAGGCTTTTCTTGGAAAGCAAAACCATGCTTCAGATTTCAGATTCAAATTGAGATTTATTGGGTCTGTGCAAGGCTTTTGAAAAGGGGCTTTGCAAAGTGTGTTCATGTGAGCAAAGGACTCAAGTGGCCTCATTCTTTAAAAAACCTGTGCAGCTGCTTCAAAGGTTTTCCTTGGTTGCCTGTGTGATGGTGTGCTCTCCTTTGCTGGCAGTCCCAGTGCAGATGTGTCTACAGACAAGTGGGGAAAGCAGCTGTGCCAAGGGCCTCAAAAGATACGGCTCCTTTAAAGGAGGAGAGAGTATTGCTTATGCTAACATCCTTGGTGAGGCACCCTTCTCAAATGCTTTGTACAGCTCTAATATTTATATACATTGCTTCTAGTTACAAAACAAACCACTGCGAAATTATCTAAGGTGCTTAACAAAATACAAACATCCGTTTTCTGCCCAAAGTTTTTTTTTTAATCTATCTATTAATAAGCCTGATGTACAGAGACTTCAGTGATGCCCCTGGATATATAATTTCTGGAAAATCGAAAGTAACAGTTTATCTTCACATGCCGTGCATCATAAGTCCAACAAAGCCCCAAATGTCTCATTTATAATATTCATAGATTCAGCCTTTATATTATTAATTCCATTCTGGGCTGATGCAAATTACTACCTTGGAATCTGTGTTATTTGCCATTCTCCCAATGGCAAACAATCTTAGAGATTCTTGTTCCGACAGGGTTGTGACACAAATGTGCAGTTTCTTCCTATGTGTACTTACCCTGAGAGCAAAACATACACCCACTTTTTTCATCAAGGTTTTAACAAAGCCCTTCAGGTCACCTGCAATATTTTCTAATTGCCTGAGAACATTGCTAATCTATAATTCTGTCAACACCAACAAACCTGACTTCCTTTTTTTCTGTGTTATTCTCTTGCCCTCTGGTGGTTGATAAAAAGTAATGTTATTGATGCACCAAACCTTTGTTTTATTTTGGTCCAGTATGTTTATGTTCTGCCTACAAGATTCTGATCTGAGGGATGAAGCCAACTTCAAAAGTCAGGAGGAGAACCAAGAGATGGCAGCTGCCGGGAGCAGGTTTCAACCAACTCAGGATGCAAGCTCAGGGCAAGAAGAGGGAATAGGTGCTCTTGGAAGGGCTGAGCTGTCTTTTCCTGGATGTGGAAGCTCATACCCCACTCAGGTACAAAGTCACTGAATGGCTCCAGGTTAGTTATGCTCAGCCAACCTATCATGCATGTGGGTTGGGATGATAAAGTGGAGAACCCAGTGTGCCATCTGCAGCAATGTCGAGTCATATAAGCATAAGGAACATACAAAACAAACGACACAAAGAGCGGTTCAGATATTTGGTTTTTGATTTGGTTTTGATTGATTAGTATACAAGGAATGAAAATGAGGGCAGGAAGCATTTCCAGGTGGGTGGGGTGGGGAAACAGTGTATCATTAATTTAGGAGTTCTTTACAGAAAAAACAGGAGTCCCTTTGAGACAAACTACGCTGGATTACTAAACTTTTTTTTGAAATATGGATTTATCCAGCTCTCTCCCCGGCGAAGAGCCCCATCTTGCTGTTTGTGGCTCCTAGGCTGTTTCTGCACATATTTTTCCTAATCCCAAAACTCAGGTTTCAATGCTGTAGTTTAGCACATCAGCTGCAGGACATATGGCCTTTCCGGCTCCTCCCAGACCACTTTTCCTGATAGTTTGGGTGACCTGCCAGCAAGCAGGCTGGAGAATCTGCAGAGGGCAGCAAGGAGGGAGAGTGACACAGCTCCAACCACCTCCATGCAGCATCTTTTCTTTAAGAGGAAGTGGCCGCTATTAACTTGGCAAATCTTTAGAGACGTGACAAAAAAGGCAAGCAATTTTATGGATAACAAGCAACAAGTCAGTTTCAAAAGCCATTTGAAACCTGCTGCATTCTTTCACCTTAAGAATTTAATGTATCTGTAAGATTATATAATATTCTCTACTATCCAGAAGGATATCCTTTTCCCAGGGTGAAAGATATCATACCTTGCATTTCCTTTCTGAACAAATATCAACATTTTCCCTCCCTTTTCACTGTATCTCTGTTCAAGAACAGGTTCAGCTCCAGTTAAAAGGATTTCTGGTAGAGTTTCCTCTTTGTTTGATAGCTTAGCAAAGCCAGATTGGTCAGACAAGATGGTGTCTTTCTAGGGGAACTAGTGGGATGAATTGTTCTGATATTTGTGCTGCTAAGATTCATCTGCATGCTCTTGATTAAGACAGGCCCATAATATACAGACACCAACAGCATTTGTGCCATACCCTGGGGCGAAATGTCACTGTGGCATTTGTTTTTGGCTTATTAGAAGGAGACAGCAACTGAGTGGCACTCTTCTCTAAAAGGATAACAGGAGCTAGAAGGAACTATAAAATGCAGTGGGCCGTCACACTAAGGAGGTGACCTCCAGAAATCATCCTTAATTAATCTACCAGGATGGGAGATATTCCATTGGATTCCCAAACATCCTGCTTTGTCCTAGCCTGTAGCTGAATTCTTTATTGCTCCCAATTGATTGCATCCCTTTTAATATGATTGTGCATTATTCTACAGTAATGTGTATTCAGAGTAGGTGTTCCTAGTCTGCTTGGCTCACTGCCAACTTGCTTCCTCATTATTGAGAGCTAATCATTATGCCCAGCCTCCAGAAGACTACCCTGATCAAATACAAGCCTGTCTCTTTTCTCCCCAGTACCTGTTGCTGAAGAGAAGCATCTACCAAATATCAATATAAATAAAGTCCTGTTTGTAATTCTCCACAGCAAAAAAACAAAAAACAAACCATAAGCAGACCCAACAGTGACACTTGGGATTGCTGGTTTGCGCCTGTATATTTCTGGGCTCCACGCTGTCAGCAAACATCCTACAGCTCACTCATCCCTGCATCTCCTAAGGAATATGGGTGACTCAAACAATAAAATAGGGCCATAAGTGAAGACTTGTTCCCTTTCTGAGTGATGAGCACAGGTACTAACAATGTTTGGGCTTGCAAAATGAGTCAGGCTACTCATGGACAGCTACTTTATTTCACTGGGATCAGCTATATTTAAAGCATGGGTAGGCAACCTGTCATTCTCCAGATGCAGTGGACCACAGCTCCTATCATCCCTGACCATTAGCCCTAGTGGCTAGGATTGATGGGGCTTGTAGTCCTTCGTGACTGGGGGATGCCAGGTTGCCTATTCTCTATCAGGGTTATTTTCTCCAATTCCTGCCATTTCTTATTCTTGTAGATAACCTGTAAGGCAGTAAGGCAGGGCTAGAAATGTCCATGGTGGTATGTTTTCATTTGTAGGGAGCATCTTCTTTATTTTGGCACAGCCACTGAAAGAATAGAAAGCTATACTGTTGTTCAGGCCCTGATTTTCTCCAGCTGCATGTGTATGTCAGATTCATTAGTGATTCCCAACCTGTCTATATACCCATGATTGTTTTGTTGATTAAATACTGCCCCAGCTTCATGCAGGATTAAAATACAACTAAGCTTCTACTTCGAAGGTCTTCCTTCCTTCCCCTTTAATAGTGGCTTATGTAAAGAAATTAGAAAGTTTTTTCCACATCACTATATCCCCATAGCAGGGGAAAAGATTATGTGGCAATGTAACAACAGAGTATAATTATTCTCTTGAATGCAAAGGCCTTCCTTGGCTTGCCCCAATTGACATGCATGTTATCTTAGGTTATTGGCAGCCAATCCTTTCTTCTTGTTAAAGTAATTATTGAACTGGTTCCTCATCCTGCTTCATCAGGCCTATAGGGGTCCTTCCAGAGTCAAGGCTGTTGAAACATCCTTGGCTTCTGGGCTGAGGGCATCTTTTACCATTGTGCTCTCTGTCTGTTGATCTTGGTCCTGTGTCTCGGCAAACTGCACAGCAGCATGGATACTGTGGAATGAGAGCAGCTCTGGATCTGGCATCCCAGTGAGCCAACCTCCTGCCTGGAGCAAACGCCGTATGGAGGGGTTACAATTGGCCAGCAGGACCTGGATACCAATCTTCTTGTAATCTTGGCGAGTCTCCTTCAGCACACTAAGGCCTACACTGTCTATAAACTGCATGGCTCCACAGTCAATGATCAAGGTATGCATATCTATAGAGGTACCAGGACCATCTGCTGAAGCCTTTGGGGTCTTGGTTCCCCTTAGGCAGTTCAACCTGGAAGAAAAACAATTTTCATTTTTGCTTAGGTTTGCTTTAGCTTGAGCTTTTTGTTGCATAGCAGCAACTAGGGAAGGATTCACCCCTGTTTTCTGGAAAAGTGAACTTTTGAAGTAGTCCTTGTTTGCATAGTAAAGAGAGGTATCAAAGCGGAAGATCTTGATATTTGCAATGCTACTGATCCACTTGTAAGTAAACTGATCCTCATAGATTTCTGAGTCATTCACCTTACCTAGAAGGGTGGCTCGGGGCCGCTGGGTGCGGAAGATGATGCAGAGCAGAGCAAAGCAGACTCCTGTCAGAAGGCCCAGTTCTGTGGAGATCAGTGATGAGGAAAGCATGGTTACCCACCAGACTATAGTGTCCATTTTGCTGATCCGCCACATCTTGGGTATATCAGCAAATTTCCGCAATCCTCCCCTGAGATTAACAATTGTAACCACACCTAAAATGCAAGTTTGCAGTGAATAGAAGAGAGGGGCAATCCACAACAATACTAGGAGCAACACAGCTGAAGATACCAAGCTTGATATTTGAGTATGACATCCAGTTGATTCTTTCAGCAAAGTCTTTGACAAGGCTGCACAGGTAGCAAAGCAGTAGAAGAAAGATGGGATCAGATTTCCCATCCCAAGGGCAATCATCTCTTGGTTGGCCCGGACAGAATAGCCATGTTTCTTGCCAAATATTTCTGAAAGTGAGACAGTCATAGCAAAACCAATTATGGCAATGGGTAGAGCATCAAGTGCCAGATTGGACACAAGGCTCAGATCTGGGACAGCAGGTGGTTTGAAACCAGTGGGAATTGTACCACAAATTTTAGACTTGTATCTTTCATTGAAGTTAAGGAAATGTGACAGTAGTGTAGCTGCAATGACCACCAGGAGTTCCATGGGAAATGGAGCCTTCATTTTGTCCTTAAATAAATTGTTGATTTCCTTTACTGGCACAATGAGAGCTAAAGCCACAAGGCTGGTGACCAAATCACAGATGTTGGTCTTGCCAATATATCTGAAGATGTCAACCCATGTTAAAACAAGGGAGCCCACTCCATCATGTCGAGGGATCTTCAGTCCCAACAGAAGGTTCATTTGGGACGTGAGAATGGTAAGGGAGGACCCTGTCACAAACCCACTCAGAAGAGGTTCTGAGAGATACACTGAGATGAAGCCCAACTGGAAGACCCCTAGAAGGATCTGAAAGGAAAAGCAAATAGAATTCATGATTGAGAAATTTAGGCACAATGAGAAAGAAGGTGATAGATCTCAACTTGCATTTTTGTCTATTATTATTATTATTATTATTATTATTATTATTATTATTATTATTATTA